CATGGCCATTGAACAAGAGTTAGACAGTTGGCATAGGATTGGATAGCAGAGGATTGCACTGGAGGGGAGAGTGTAAAGAGAGACCTACAGTACTTGAACCATTTATGTGTTAAAGTTGCAGCATTAAACACAAGCCCAATGGCCTGCCAAAGGGTTAAGGAACTCGACAGCGCCTAGGGCAGAAAATGTGTCCGAGCCATCATAAAAATTGTTTGGTAGTTCGTTTCCTCACTTTCCATATAAAATGGATTTGATGGATGATGTTGTGGCGCAACTTGGGGAGCATGTGTTCTGAGACTTGTGCCAAGAGCTAAGCAAATGGTTGCCTCAGCAAGTGGAAGTGGGCGGTGTACAAGCAAAGGAGTAGAGACCCAGCTGTGTGGACTGCCTGGATGCGCTGAGATTAGAGCTGAGACGGCAACAGAACATGTGGTTAAATGAGGTGGAAAGTGTAGCTTAAATGAAAAACAAAAGTAATGTGCCAGAGAAAATATACAAGAAAATATATATCAGAATTATTCAGAACTATTTCAAACGTTTGAGATACTCTTTGAAAGATATTCATTCGTTCTACAATATGTGGATGATATTTAAAAATTAAATTATATTCGTGCTTATAGTTATTATAAAAAGTCTTCAGATGTGCTTTAAATATAAATTTTCTTGGCGCCAACTCCGAGCTATCTGCAAGCCATTTCTTAGGATACACGCGAACCCTTTTTGAAAGAAGGAAAAAAATACCCACAAAAGGACATTGTAGCGACAGTTTCACAGCCTAAGCTCCATTTGGAATCCCTTGAAATCCCGTCACATCTCCTAAGTGCGTGGAGGCTCCGCCGCTCCCAACTTTGCGCTTTTTGCGCTGTCTCTCGCAGGACACGGCTGTCAAGTTTTACACCGTTGGGTGCTAAAAATCATAAAATCAATGTGTCATAAAAAATACCCCAGCTCCGGCTAAAATCCCACACCAAGATCAAGACTAGAAGGAAATTGTTTGAGCTGCGTATTTTCATTTTATGGCTTCTCAATGCCCCTCATATACCGTAAAACACATGTGTGTTTGGTTGGGTGGAGTTGGGTGGAGTGAGTCTGTTTATGACTGCACAGAAATACATACTCGTTACATTAGGCTGTACTCAGTGCGCGAAAACACTTTAATCAGTGTTGGGTAACTGCTCAACTGTGATTTCACACAATTACGAGTGCGCGGGCGTATGGGGATGCTTTTTGGGCCTCGACAATCGTCGAAAACTAATTTCTGCAATTTCCTGCAAACAATCAAATGTTTGCACAGCAACAACAATGCCCAAAAGAGAAATATAACAATAAAGTAAATTACATCAAGTAAGTGAGAAAGAAAGAAACAAACACAGCAGGCATTCCCGCTGTGCAGGGGTGGGGGGCTGTTCAAAAGGGGAATGGGGACTGGTAGCAGGCCCCTCCACTCGGAAATAATTAAATAAATGAAGCAGCTGCAGAAACATTGCTCTGGATTCCGCATCAGACAGTCGCCGACACAGACAAGCTAGACATCGAGCCCCCCCCCCCCTCACCACGTCAGACGGGTGTACGTAAGAAGTCGAATGTGGGGAAGCGTGGCCACCCACTTAGAGGTGGTCCATCCAGAGTCGTGAGCAGAAGAAGAAGAGGGATATGGGCATTATGATTTATTTAAGAAGAGACATAGGTCTAACTAGTTTTAATTTATATATCGATTTATATTTTATATTTTAATTCTGTATTCTTTTCTCTTGCTTGTTTTGTGATCGAGTCACGTTGTCATCGCTAAGACCATTTCTACAGCTCCATTCGCAACTTTTGCCTGGTGGAATGGTAAAGATTTTTAAGCGCCCGTGTTCCTGCTACCGTTGCCATGTAATTTGATTTGATGTTCTCTGCTGTACTAGATTCTACACTACATATATATTTTTTTTGTTTCTCTTGTCGCTTCGGCTTGTCTTCCTACTTTGCACATTTTGTGTCGCCTAATGAATGACAGACAGCAGCAGCAGCGGCAGAGGCAGAGGAAACAGCCGCCGGCACGCAAATGGAGGCATAAATGGTGCCGCATAACTGCCATAATGCTGATGATAATGTGGATGATTTTAAAACGCGCGTGTTTCCCCTGCAATTGCTGTCGTTCCGAAGTCATTTGTGGGCTGCCTGCCCAGGACTCCTGTCTGCGTGCCAGAAAATTCTTCCCGTCTTATTTGGATAGCTGGAAATGGCATGAAAGGTGGCATTACAACATGATTTCTTAGCACTGCGCCAAGTTGAAATATTTTAAGGGTATTTTCTTATATTTTAGTTTAACTTGAGGCACTGCTTGGGCTTAATATGCCAAGGTAAAGGCAAGAGAAGTTTCTTGTCCACCTTAAATCGAACGAAACAAAATGGATTTTCCTCTGCAAGTCCATGAACAGGAATAGGAAAATATATACTTAATTGTGGAACACTAGAGCTGCTCCATCTGATCCAATTTATATACATACATGAAACAAAAACCTTGATTGGTTGGCATTTTCCATACAGTTTTCATACAGTTGCAGCAGTATGCTCATATTTATTAATAAAGTCACCAATTTTTCAATGTGTTAAGCCAAACCAGCCATAAGCTCTCTGACCAATTATTTAAACAAAATAAAACAACAGAAACAGAAATGGCAATAGCGAATGCAGAATGTGCTAAGCCCCTCAGATGCAGCCCCAGAGCCCAGTGCCCAGTGCCCAGTCCCGGTCCCGACACGTTTGGCACTTGAATAAATGCAAACAAATAATAAAATGGTTATAAATGCACTTTATACAAATATTTTACATGCCAACATAACAAACAAACTTCCAGACCAGACCCGACCCGACCAGTCCAGAGATCATGCCAGGCCCACTGCCCTTCCACCGTGCCATGCCACAGAGTAAACTCGTCGAACACCAGCAAAACATCATCGTAAAAAGCAAAACCAAAAGAGAAACAGCCACAGAGAACACAGAAAAAAAGAAGAAAATAAACAAATAAAATATAGAAAATATAGAAAAAATCATGAGGCTATAAAAAAGGGGAGAAAACTGAAACAAATACAATGACGGGAGGGAATGCATAAAAAGTTATGAAAACGTGTAAAAGTGAACCGCTTCGACGGGCATGGCATGGAATGGCCGCCTCGTCGGATGGAATGGAATGGAATGGCGGATGGGCTGGAGGAGCAGCAACCGCAGAAAATACAGGAAAAACGAATTGTTAGCCATGTTGGAGTGCACGAGATGCCAAATAGATACATTTTCAGATGCATTCCAAAACGAAAACAAAGGAATAACAATCAAGGGATGCACAGAGCGGGACTGAGTGACTGGTGTGTTAAGTGATTGTGACGCTTGGGGCCCATATGGAAGTGGCCATAGCCACATATCCAGAGCTGACCTACGGTTGTGTGGCCCACCACAAGAACTGCAAATGAAAAGGAAAAGGAAATAGGGAATGTGTATGAAAATATTGGAAAATTTATTAAAATAGTAATAAATGGTAAAAACTGTGAGATGGCTGAATGAATGGAGATGCATAGAAAATTGAAAATATATTGAAAAATTACTATTTCTTGTTCGAGTGCTTTTATTGTGAATTATTAAATATATATTATAATTGTTTAATGAAATTATAGCTTAATGATAAGAAGATAAAAAAGAATTTTCCAATTGACGGATTATTTATAAGACGAGGACAATGGACTATAATTTGGCGTTTCCATATATGTATATATCCCACCCCAAAATGCTGGTCAATTAGAGTGTTTAATGACATTCAACAATAAATTAATTCAACGGAAAACGCATTAAGCTTAAGTTCCCCACACCGACTTCCTTTACAAATCAATCAATTTAATTTAATCTCAATAGCGTTTCCTCTTTTTTTTTTCTTCGTGAAGGCCTTAAAAACAAACACATGACTCCCGCTGCGACTTTCGTTTTGTTTTGCTCTGTTTTTGTTTCAGATTTTTGTTTGTTTTGTATTATTTGTGTGTGTGTGTGCTTTCTGCTGGCAAACACAAAAGTTTTCTGCCTTCTTTTTGTCGCTGTGTATTTTCTGTGTGCTTCTGTTTGTCTATGCCTAGCGACAGAAATGAATTTATTTCGAATTGTTTTCAGCACTGTTTCAGAACTTACACACTCTCAATTTGAGCTACGACCATACGACACCAGAGTTCATATTTGTTGGCTGAAATTAGCGCAAAAGTTAAGGGTCCATTGTGGGTGTGTGTGTGACTTAAGAGAGAAGTACTGAAGTTTGTTCATAGAGTAGGGCTTCTCCGTATGGGAGTTAAGGGAGAACTTTGTGGAACTGTTTGTCGAATATAATGCGAGGATATTCTTGGAAATTTCTATGTGTGGTAAGCAAACTAATCCTAAATATCATTGGTCGTTGATCTCAGACTGTGTTTCGACTTTCATAGAACTTGGGTATCTCTAGGAGATTTTAGTTTAATTTAATTTAGCTCAAAGGTTATTTAAACCCAGTGTTTTTACCATACGTAAATATTTGATTTTTGCATTTTACAGGCCTTAAAGTACCCACAAAAACCCATATACCCTTGTTTTCTGATAGTACTGAGCATCCAAAAATGTCTCAAGTAACTTTGTTGGCTTTGAGTTAAGTTGACACTTGCCAGTCTGAGCCAAGAGACACACTTGCGCACTCGCCCGCCCAACTACGAAACAGCCCAGGAGTTTCCGACAATTGGACTTACTTACTCTGTTGTCGACGTCATTAGCCGCATTTGTCTGAAATTAAGTTGAGTTTATGACAAAGACAAAAAAAGCCAACCCAGGGGCGAAAATCGAATTTTCGTTTCATGTCGTGTCGTTTCGTTGGGATGGAGCCATTCCTTGGGCTGTGGCTGTAGCTGTGGCTTCACCATTATGGTTTTTATTATCATCAATATCGCATGTTATCCTATATCCAATATATTCTATGCCATGTGGAGCAATTAATTTGGTTTCGTCTTTTTTTATTTGTTCTTGTTTTAAGTGTTTTTCGGTGTTGCTCTCTCTCTCTCTATCTGGCTCCCCACTCTTGTATAATGTCGTTTTTCATGGTTCTGATTTTATGACAGCGACAGCTTGAGACAAATAAAGGATGTACGATTGTATCTATGTCTGTTCATTAGGTTTTCGCTTTCGTAGCCATGTCTAAGTGCTGCGTCTGTTCTGGTGTTGCCTGTTTGTGCACTTTGTTTCTTGCGGTCGCTTGAACTTTATGACAAAATAATGTGGCTCATTAAAGGCCTTTGGGCCTGGCTTGTATCGCGGGGGTGGTCTGGTTGTTGGGCTTGTAAACAAAATCTAGTGCTTAATTGTTTGTGTTCGGTGGGTGCCCTGGAATTTTTTATTGATTTGCTTTTGATGATTGAATTGTGTGGGAAACTTCGAAACATTATATCTAGCTCAATTTGTTTTCGATTTGTTGTTGATGAAGTCGTCGCTGTGACTCATATGTTTGTACTGTTTTTCATTTAATTTCTATAAGGATATTTTTAGAATTTATTAATGTTGTTTATGGGTTTGGTTATATACGAGTATGTGTACTTCCTTGTATGCAGTTGAAACACCAAGTGCGGAGAAGCGAATTGAAGATGTAGCTTATAAGCTCAGGCCGCTCTAGAGCCGTGTCGATCGTGAGAGCAGGCTCGAGCACGCTGTTAGAGAGCACTTACAGGGAACTGTAGCCGACAGCGGTAACAGGCTGTTAATCTGGGGTGTTAACAGCGCTGCGGCTCTGTTACAGGTGCTGCCGTGAACAATACCATATAATATTCAACTTGTTTGATGTATAGAATAAACTATCCAAGAATCTAATTGATATGTATTTAAAATAATATTTCTGTTCTCCTCTGGTCAATTTCGTAAGATTTTCAATCGTCTTTTAGTAATCTTCTCTCTTAACATATGAATAGCGAGATCCTCCCGACACCGCCTCGATTTGATCAGATATTACGCATATGCAAACAGGCTGTAGTTCCAATCCGCTCAATAGACCAAAAGGTATGCCACAGACACACACACACACATAAGTAATCAGTCAGAGAAGGCAAAGAAGCAGCAGCAAGGCGATATTTCCGTTTACATTTGCCATAATGACAAGCGAGAAGTGAGCGCAACTGTACCGCAAGATGTCGCTAAGGAGACCGCGTGTGTGTGAGTGTGGTGTCCTTTAAAATGAAAACAAGAAAAATAGTAAGGACAAAAAAATATGTCAACTGTCACGATTTGCTGGCAAACAAAAGGAATACTCGTAGTGCGAGTCTCGTACATACGTTGGTACCCATACGTAGTACGTAGTACGTACACAACCAACTTCAGTTAGCAGATGAAAATCGATGGCGCATCGTCTTTCTTTCTTTCTTGTCTGCTTCTGTTGGTGGCTGTCTCCTGTTTGTATTTGCTTTCCCTGGGAAAATGAAAAATAAACAAATTTCCTAATGACAATTCCGAGCATCGCATCGCATCGCAACGCATCGGCAGAATGGAGCAAGTAAATTGATATTGATGCCGAGTGTGTTGCTGAGTGGGGCCAAGGGTCGTGTACTGTCTTTAGTTGCACTATCTTAAAGCCCATTCTCGTTCAGGTTGAAGTGGCAAAACATCTGTAATCTTTGCTCGCTTTATATCCATTTTTAGCTTGACCTACTTTCGAGACTTCCGTGCCTTGAGGGCTAGGCTTATCATCGCTTCCGATGTGGCCAACTCTCTGGACAGCTTTCTCATCCAATCGAGTTCTTCCTGCCAGCAAGCTGAGTACCCAAGTGAGTCTCACTCTCACTCTCAGTCCTTTACCTTTGCATGTGTATATGCTCTCTAATCGCATTTGCATATTGTTTTGTTTTTCTACTCTTTTCGCATTGAGATGGTTCTACGAGCATTCGTTTTCCCCATTCGCCCACACAACTGTCAAAGTAAGTCAAATGGCTGTAAGTAACACTGGCTTTATTTCCATTTAATTTTCTTCTTGTGCTTGTCACCAATCGCAGATCACACACACATCAGCAGCTGGGCCACTCTTTAAACCTACTTTCTGCTGTTTTCTATTCCCTTTTTGTTTTGTTTGTGTGTGTCTGTAAATTATGGTATAATATGCATAAATCACATACACAATTAAATTCGTTGTTTTTTTGTTTTCCTGTACCGCATTTGATATGTAAATGAAATGGGAAATGAATTGTTATTGGGCCACCTTCACTCAGTTGTTCCAGCCTGTGCATCCCTCTGTCATACAGCAAGAGGCAAAGCGTAACAGCAGCCAAAGAAAGTACAATTTTGAAGAAATGGGGTAATCTCAATGAGCATTTCGGCAACGACAATCGGATGCTCTAACTCGAGTCAATGAAACTTAAAAATATGTACTGTGACGCAAAGTCCAATATTGATCAGCCCAATCTGACTATGGAGCCAACAAAAACAAACGTGAAAAATATAAAATTCATAGCTTGCACTTTGCTGTTCTAAAAGAATACAGCCAAGGGCTCAGGTCCTTGCTCAGGCAAGATCTTGAGTGTCAAGTTGAAGGCGATCCAAGGCATCGAACTTACCATTCAATATCCAATAGAGCCCAAAATGCTGCTCCAGAGTACAGAAAGAAGAACAATATAAATAGATAAATGCAAGCATAAAGGACTTATGCGAAGGATTTTATCACTAATTCTCCCTTGCAAGCCCAATATACTTAAGGCTAAAATAAAGGCTAATTAAGCATTATATTCCTTAACACCTCCCATCTGTCACATGTCCTAACTTAGAGCTTACAAAGTCTCTAGTCTCTTTGGGGCAAACAGCTAGTCCGAATCGTGATACCTTCAAGTAGTGCCAGGGTATAGAAAACATGTTAAAGTAGAGGAAAATGAGTTGCCGCAGACGCAGACGCACACTCACACACACACACATAACCACACACTCACATGCATATAAATCACATAAATCTTTTTATTTGTCACTTTTATTGGTTTTTATTATTGTACCTTTTTTCAGTTCTAGCTGTATCTGTGTGTGCGAGTGTGGCTGCGTGTGTGTGTGTGACTGAGTCGTCGGCAGTTGACACATGCGTGCCCGATAATGTCGCGAAATATTCGCTGGGTGCTGTCAGACAGTCAGACACTCAGACTGAGGCGGCTGTAAGGAAAAACGACAAAGAAAGAAAAAAAGAAAAATATTACAATTGCGGTCTGTCTGTCTGTCTGTCTGTCTGTCTGTGTATGGGCGTGTGTGGGTGTTGTGGTGTGAGTGAACAACTATATTTTCATAAAACGCCAGAAATATTAAATAACAATAAAAGTAAGATATATGTTTTGTGTATAAATGTATTTATGTGTTTTTTGCCATTTCGTTCCTACGGTGCGCACCTCTCCACCATTTGTATCTCGTCATGTGTGCAGTATCTGTGTGTGCGTGTGTGTCTGTGTGCTTTTTTTTTTGGGGGTATCTGTGCTTGTGCGATTCTAATCAGGGGCCAGAACTACTACTACAATGACAGCAAACAGAGACTGGCATACAAATAAACAAACAAATCGCACGAATAGGCAAAAGAGCTCACTGTGTCTCTCCCTCGCTCCCGTCTTTTGTCCGGCCTTCTAACCCCGGCTCCGGTGGCACCCCGTCTCCAATACCAACCTCGACCTTTTGCCATGACCAGACAGACGGGTTTTTTTTGTTGTTGTTCCTTTTGGTCACACTAAACTTGTGCCCCAGCTCTACTCGTTGAAGCCTCAGCTGGCGTCGTTTTGTCTTTTGTCGTGGTTCTGTTGTCGAAGCGATTTTAATTTGTGTGGCAACCGAAATTGAAAACTGTCAAAACTGTTAACGTGGCCTTTTTGGTCGTGGGAGTGTGGGTGGGCTTCAGATTATAGTTATTTATAGTTAACCCCTACACCAAGGGAACTGTGCGTTTCAAAAGAGTCCCCAAATGACATGGCAAAGGAAAACCTTCTAAAGTCGTTGCTGGTTTTGATGCAAAGGATTTTGAATGGCATATTTTCGGTGCACTTATAGATTTTTTCACTTTAACTGATTGGATACAACTGGCATTTCATAACATAATTAATTGATAATCAGATTTTGGTTTTTCTCAAACTATACCTATAAATCTGAGTGTCCAAATGCCATACTGATAATTATGAAAAATTCACTTGATAATTATCGAAATATTTTCTATTTAATTAGCATTTAATAACTTTATTATAGGAGATATAAAGCTGATCAGATAATAATTTTCTGATTTCATAAACAAATTGTCGATTGCGGATGTAAAAACTACTGAAATTATTTTAAAATTGCATGACATAAAGCATTGGATAGTATATATGATCGAAAGACAATCAATCTCATACCTTTCCTCAACTAAAAACGTATTTCACCGTATTTCATAATAAATTCTTAAATTTTATTTTAATTTTCGTTGTTGGTTTTTTGTTTTGTTTGCTTGTGTTCTTTCTGGCATAGCTTTGTGTTCACATTTCTCCGACTATTTCTGCAGCTTAAGTTAAATAATAAAAAGAAATTTGTCGACTTGTTCTCTGTTTTAATTAAAATTCAAATTTAATGCAATTAAAAAAGTCCCCCCAAACCCATAACAAAAATTAATCAAGCAGTAAAATCTTGTTTAATTTTTGCCATCGAAGCGGATGTACAACGAAAACAGAAACAGAAAAAACAGCAGGGAAAATATTTTTAAACCATAGTAAAATTTAATATTTATAAAGCGTTCATCGAAGTTGGACCCCCTGCTGGAGAGGGGGGATTAGGTTGTGCGATCGGGGAGGAATTCTGAAAAACAGGCGGAAAGCAATTTTGCTGAAAGGCGTACACCATTTTTATCGATAACTGGCAATAGTTGGAGCTTAAGCCCGTATGTAAATGTGCGTGTGTGTGTGCATGGCTAAAGGTGGATGGCTGAATGGGTGTGGGGGTGTGCATTGGTGTGCGAGTGTGTCTAACGGTAACGGTGTGAAATGGCGCATATGTAAGCAGCAACCCCATGGATTTATGGGCCTTTACACAGGAATTATAGACGGTTGAGCTCTGGGGGCCTTCACTTCTTGTTCGTTGTTTTGCCGACTGTTGTCTGTTTTTGGTGGCTTAAAATCCAATCGACACGACGACCATCCACATACATACATACTCATATATAGTACATATATATATGTATACCGTAGGTATAGATATAGAGCATTCTTTTCGGCATTGGAAGAGGCGTGCGTGTTATTTACTGACCGGAATTACCACTTTCAGCGGAATAATAGATTACACGCACCCTTCGCATATCCCATATGCGCCGACACACAGACACACACAAAACTTGTAATTGCTTTTGCCTGTTAACGTGCGAATACCGATTGAGAGGAGGCGTGTCCCGCGCCGACTTGGCCTTACTTAATGGCATCTACACCGAGGCAATGCAATTTGAAAAAGTTTAAGCTTGGAATACTTAGAAAATGTAATCAATTTCAATAAATTTACACATTTTATTACAATTATTTATTGGATTTCTTTTGATAGCGCTTAAGGACCTTTTTGCTCAGTGCATGGGCAAAATTTAAATCGTTTTTTTTTTTATTAACAATTAGCCATCAGAATTTTCTTCCGCTTCTGCGTCAGAACAATAATTTCTTGATATAACTTTTGGGAATAACAGGGAATATTATAGAAATATTAAAATGAATTCGAATATATGTAAAACTCTCTTGGCTATTTTCTAGCCAATGCTTAACTATTCTCTGGTCTCCCAGCGCCATCATTAGTTGAATATCAGAAGAGCTCAATTTGATTTCTGGTTCATGGCTCATTTAAAATGCGATTTCCGTTTGGTATTTAGCCTCCCCACCATCCAGAAATGGATGACTGAAGTCCCGCTATGACAGCACCATTGAAGTTGGTTTTTCTTGTAATAAAAAACAAACTGCACATTTCGCAAAAGAGTTCGGTTGGCTGCATTGGTGATGAGTGGCACTGCAAGCAGCTGTTCGAAATTGAGTGATAATATCCACAATACACACAGACAGAGATACAGAG